TTATAAAATGCACACTGTAGTTCTAAAGGAGAGTGGTCGGTGTCTGTGCTCTCCCGCAATCAACAAATCTGAAGAATTCATCTGACGCTATAAAATAGTCAACAGTGCTACTGCCATTACTAATTACACATGTTAGTTCACCACTTCTGTCGCCATTCACTCTGCCATTCATGATATATAGGTAATATACATAACATAAATTAAGAAGAAAGCGACCAAATTTGTTAACCACATCATCAAGTGACGATCGTTTACTAATGTCACAAGGATCGCCTTCAGGAAATATATCTGGATCACCGTGATTTAATTCAGGTTCTGTAGGGTTATTCTCAGTACCTTTTCGAGAATTGAAATCCACACACAGTAATAAAAAGAAATCAGATAGGTACTCTGATAGGTCGATAAGAAAGTTATCAATATTATCAAATAAGCAAGCATTTGGATTTTTCACGTAATACGTTGAGTTTTCAGGGGGAATATATAAACAGAAGATCAGAATATCTTTTGGTAAACCGAAGGGAGTTTTCTTAATTTCTATGGTAAAAAGATTGTCAATATCATTTCGACGTAACTCACAAAACTGTTGAAATTCGTATCTAACAGCAAAGCAAGCTCCATCACTATTCCAGCAATGACCTGACAATTTCACCGACGGAGAGTAAAATATTTTATATCCAGGCAACCAGTCATAGTCTACGTTATCCAAAAAGGTTTCCGATAGACAAAGAAAGTCAAAGGTTTGTAGATATGAAATAAAGTCATTATTTGAGAGTTTACTGGATAAACCTTTCACATTCCAGCAGAGAAATCGGCACAGAGTGTTATCAATTTCATGAGTGAGGTTGATACCGGTGCGTCGTTCATTTGGCTCCTGTGAAAAATTGGATCTGTTGCAGTCCTTTCAATTATAGGTTCCGTAATCAGCCGGCCATTCTTGAAGTAACCGCGCATTCCTGTGTCTTTGAGATCTTTCAACTGTTGTCGTTGGCGTCTGGTCAAATCGCTTGACACTCCATACCCAGCGTCCTTCAGGGTGGCTCTCGCCCTCAGTATCTCAAATGTGTCGTCACTCTCACGTAGTTTGGCAATCACGGGGCGTGGTTTGTTGGTGGTTTGCTGTGTCTTACCGAGACGATGTGCTCTCACAAGATCGCCGGACATCCAAGTTTTATGTGTAACACTCTGCGTAAGAATGTGTAGGACCTTCTGTTTACACTCAACGTTTGAGTCCTCGCCTTCTGGTATGCCGTAAATGATCACATTGTCTCTGCGACTGAGAGACTCAAGTTTATCTACTTCGGTGTCCAACGAGTTGATTTTGTCCTCAATTCTATCTAGTTTGTCGGTTACCGCATCCACATCAGCGTACATAACATCGTGGTTCTGTTTCATTTCATCGACGGATGATTTCAGCTCAGAGAACTTTGTGTCAACAGGTTACATTTGTTGTTAACAGATTTAATTTCATCTCTCAAAGATCTAATTTCAACCGAAAGGTCTTGTTTTACGCTTAAAATAGTGTCTTTTAAGTCTTGCATAGTCGACGGGTCTGGGTTCAACTCAATGTCACCTGATAGGATGAGTAGATGGGGTATAATTGGGCTGAACACCGGTCCATTTGTTTGTCAATAAGCGTGACGCTGTCCGTGTTCCTCGTGCAAATGCAATTGACATCATTAAAAAACACAATTGGTGTTCTTTGGGGATAAATCTATCAAAGTTAGTAGAATTCAGAGTATCAATCAATATCATTGATGATGACAAGTGGAGAGTGAATATCATGAAGCACATAATCATTCTGTAGTGTACATCTGTCCCTCGGATGAACGGTGTGTAGACCCCATGGTCGCCATAATCTAGCTGAATCTGCCGTGTCCCTGCACGATGTTTAAACAGTCCAATGCGAGCTCTGTATATGTCACTTGACACCATCGCTAGTGTAGAACTCTCGTGGAGATAGTTATGATATCACACGTTCCAAAATATCAGAGCTCGGGGTGTATTTACCGTGTTAGATGGTCAAAGTGCTGGAGAGCTATACGCAGATGACTTTACACTGTCAGCCATTTTGTATCACTTGTATACTAGAAACTATCACAACACGAAACTTCTCGGACGTTCTTGCCATGATTGTTTACGACCATTGGCGGTAAATCTAATCACACTTCCTGTTAAAATCTGTCCACTACACCACTGGAGATTTTACCAGCGCTTCAAACACTTGCTGCCACTGACAATCACTCCAACCAAACAACAACAATATCTTCTGCCACATTAATTCAGTTATGTTACAGCGTGTAAGCTTGACGAGGGAGGAACGCCCTAAAGTGATGCACATCTTAATCGTTTACCACTTTGGTGACACCCACGAGCACGGATATGGTGCTCCCAAACCTCGAAACAACATGATCAGGTTGGTCATGACACTCGAACCCATGCCTTACACACCTGGTCCACCGGTGCCCTCTGTAACAGATTGATATTTTATATTGGAAATATGTGTCAGTACGATACAGATCTGTTTAAATCTTATCTCCCGGTGTACGGTGATCAACGCAGACATAAATTACCATTCCGATCTGACTTCTTTGGAATATAAATATATGATGTATCTACCGGACACGTATATCAGGTATGGTGTTGAGTGAAATAACGTTCTCCATATCACTTATCCAATATTATTGTGTATGTAAAGTGATATGTATAAGAAAGGAATCGAATTCATTATTTCCTTTTAAACAGTTCATTGAGGTAAAGCCTTGTATAGAGTGTGATACAATTTTACATTGCATCGGCGGTGTTTCATCCATAAGGCCTTTGGTTAAATATCGTTGTAAAGTTTTCAGGGGTTTAGGTTTTCCTTTGAAACATAAATTACACTATTAAATCAAAGATGTCAGCACGGGTTGAAAATACTTAAAGTTTGAAACTTCTATTCACTAGTGTTAACATATTTTATGCAAAAGACACTCGGGTGATATTCTCTATTTAGTCGACATACAACACAAAGCCACTGCGTCAAGGCTGAAGTATTTACATCATGCCAAACTTTAACGATCCATCAGCGTTGTCATCAACAACGTCATTCCAAGGTCAAATGTGTCGGTAATTGATGGGGGTGATCCAGCGCTTAAAGCTTTCTATCTACATTTAGATCATTTGGAGGATAACATCCTCGTGTCAACTGGTAACAGATGCTTGGGAGGGATTAGACACTGCATGTCATATTATTCGGATGATAGATAGCTTTGTTTTTAGGGGATAAAGTTTATGATTGCAGTTGAATATGCATTCACAAATATTTGATCAATATGTAGCTATTGTATTAAAATCATATTTCAACTTTTTTTCTGTTTGTAAACAGTCATAACAATTGTCTTGTGTGCAAAAGATACAGCTTCAAGGGCAGAGAGATTAGTGGAGTAGTGTCCTTGATTGTGATGTCATGGTAACCGATGGCGCCACAATGGTCTGCATCCAAACGATGTCTCCCGTGGGAGTCAGTTTTGGATGAAACAAAATTTAAACATCTCGAGAAACGCCAATTTGGACCTCCCGAACACAGATGGTTAATCACACACCGGGTCACTTCCTGCGCCTTCAGCTGGACCGCGTACTCTCAATGGTGACTGAAGATTTATGAAGCGGTAACGATATCTGTAAGGTTAAGCTGTTGGATTTGAGTTGATCGATGGAGGGGCGTAGAGGAAATGAATATACTACTGACCCCGAAATAGCGTCTTTGAAGCTTGTTTACAAGTGTACCCATCCCATAACGCGCATCCAGGTGAGCATGTTTCACCTCGACAACAATAACTGATGACCTTGAACACCTGAGCGTGGGTGTCGTCATACATCAAGTGTCATGACCATCGTCGTGTTGCGTTTTGTTAAATGTATCACAAGATAAATGTCCACGAGTGACGAGTACAAATCTGCAAGTTTAATTGTTTTGCCATTCAAGTAACAATAAACGTATTGGCTTTACCAGGGTCCGACCATTTGATCTTCGGGGGTTGAGATTTTGTATCGAAAACAGATACTTTTTTCAGGTACAGCTACAAAACCATTTTTACTCAAAACCATGAGCTTCAATTATTTATCGATAAACTCCCTACAACATAAACAAACAAACATCCACCATACCCAGCTCCCTTAGTTCTCCTCCCCAATCCCATCGGCATCTATTCCAAATCTCAAAATTCCCAAATTCTATATAAGCAACCCCTAAAACCCCCCTCTTGGGTTGCACAGACCACCTTCGCCCCTTTCGGAAACGCATTAAAAGGCCTGGCCGGGCCCGTGTGCGAAATACGCATCAGTCGGAAAGCGCACGTTAAATCTCCAAAGTAAGTAAGTAAGTAAGTCTTGCTTGACAACGGTATAAGGATCTCTACCGAAACGTCGCTTTTTACAGTATTGAAGTTGTTATCCATAAAATTGAGTCTACCTTGTCTTCAGTCAACTTCTAAGTAAAGCCCATCAAACAATTCATATGATTGTAGTTCAAAATACCGTAAATGCTGTATCTCGATTCCGAGCAAATTTGAAAATAAATGAAATACAAATGACAAGATACGAAAGGAAACTTAACAATAATATTTGGTATAATTATACAATTGGATGAGCAACAAAACAAGTATGTCTTATTTAACCATACTTCAAGATGCTTACGCCTCGTATTAATTGAGTAGTCCGTGGTGTACTGTAATAAAACACCTGTGTAGTAACGGGAAGATTATACTTGACAACATATCTGATAGCTTTCTATATAAAACTGTCACTTTGTCAGCGGGCGCCATGATGAAGATGTACAGGTGTTGTAAGTCTCAAATCATCAAGTGAGCATAAAATTTAATAGACTTAACTTCTCATTTCAAACTGTCAATATGCATTGTCTTTTGCCCAAAACGATGTACCGATGTCCCCACAAGCAAGGCCCGGGTCACATGTCACATGAGAGGATGGCTTTCATTGGCTGAAAATTCCCATGAGGGGAATAAACAGGGATGGATGAGGGTTGCGGTATATCATAAGCTACATCGCGGCGGAGTACCATGGTGCTTGTAGGTCTGTGTGTCCTGGCGCTTCTGGCCCATGGGGTTACGCCCCAGGCTCTCAATCCCGAGGAATTCTGTAGAGACGCCCCTCCCGTGCACAGAGGGAAACATTTCGAGATTGCTGTTAACCAAACTGACTATTATTACAACCGCGGAGTGGAAGGTGAGTGAAGTAGACCACAGCCTGACACTCCCCGGGGAGATGAGAACACAATTACACTCCCCGGGGAGCTGAGAACACAATTATACTCCGACTGACAGACGACTGCTGAGAATGCAGTCTTAATGCACACTGATCCATAATGTATATATCCATGATGCAGCCAGGTGCACGTTTCCGTAATCTATATATCACTGCTACGGTCACGAACGCTATTCTGTTAATTTTTATCAATGTTACAGTATCGTTAGCTATCCCGTATTAGATGCAACATGTCGTTAGCTATACGTCATCTTTAGATCAATGTTACACTCAAGTGCATATTCCCTAATCTATAGATCACTGCAACAATGTCGTTAACTATACGTCATCTTTAGATCAATGTTACACTCAAGTGCATATTCCATAATCTATAGATCACTGCTACAATGTCGTTAACTATACATCATCTTTAGATTAACGTTACACTCAAGTGCATTATTCCCAAATCTATAAATCACTGCTACAATGTCGTTAACTATACCGTATTCTATAGATCAATGTTACAGGCACGTGCATTATTCCCTAATCTACACACGACAACTACATTGTCGTTAACTATACATCATCTGCAGATCAATGTTACAGGCAGGTGCATTATTCCCTTATCTACACACGACACCCACAATGTCGTTAACTATACCGTATTCTATAGATCAATGTTACAGGCAGGTGCATTATTCCCTTATCTACACACCACAACTACAATGTCGTTAACTATACATCATCTGTAGATCAATGTTACAGGCAGGTGCATTATTCCCTTATCTACACACCACAACTAAAATGTCGTTAACTGTATCGTATTCTATAGATCAATGTTACAGGCACGTGCATTATTCCGTTATCTATAGATCACTCCTCCAGTCACTATTTCACATTCTAGGCTCCCTTGGAACGCTATAAAGCCGTCGTGTATGAAAACTTGGGTCACAAAATGTTCGAAATACTCTTCTGCTTGTGGTAAGAACCCACTTCATTCGAAAGGAAGTCAAACTCGGTGTCTGTGTTGACTGCATGTCATCGTACGTCCGCAGATTATTCTGGTCGAGACCCGATTATCGACATGGCCATCATGACATAGCTTGACTATTGATAAGTGCGGTGTAAAACGACAAACTTCGTGTCCGACTCAATAGTCACACAGAACTCTAATTGTTCTGACGCTTTACCAAAACGACCACATATACAATATGTAAGCGTTCATATCCCAGAGCGTTTCACATCCATATAATATGTTGTAAAGACAGGGGCATTGGATGCTTATATACAATTAATAAAGGTATGTTATATACAATTAATAAAGGTATGTTTTATACAATTAATAAAGGTATGTTACATACAATTAATAAAGGTATGTTATATACAATTAATAAAGGTATGTTTTATACAATTAATAAAGGTATGTTATATACAATTAATAAAGGTATGTTACATACAATTAATAAAGGTATGTTATATACAATTAATAAAGGTATGTTACATACAATTAATAAAGGTATGTTATATACAATTAATAAAGGTATGTTATATACAATTAATAAAGGTATGTTATATACAATTAAAGGTATGTTATATACAATTAATAAAGGTATGTTATATACAATTAATAAAGGTATGTTATATACAATTATTAAAGGTATGTTATATACAATTAATAAAGGTATGTTATATACAATTAATAAAGGTATGTTATATACAATTATTAAAGATATGTTATATACAATTAATAAAGGTATGTTACATACAATTAATAAAGGAATGTTATATACAATTAATAAAGGTATGTTACATACAATTAATAAAGGAATGTTATATACAATTAATAAAGGTATGTCACATACAATTAATAAAGGTATGTTATATACAATTAATAAAGGTATGTTATATACAATTATTAAAGGTATGTTATATACAATTAATAAAGGTATGTTATATACAATTAATAAAGGTATGTTATATACAATTATTAAAGATATGTTATATACAATTAATAAAGGTATGTTACATACAATTAATAAAGGAATGTTATATACAATTAATAAAGGTATGTTACATACAATTAATAAAGGAATGTTATATACAATTAATAAAGGTATGTCACATACAATTAATAAAGGTATGTTATATACAATTAATAAAGGTATGTTATATACAATTAATAAAGGTATGTTATATACAATTAATAAAGGTATGTTATATACAATTAATAATGATCATGATACATGTAGCTCGGGATTTTTTTTTAAATAACGTGTCCTCGGGGCGTACAAAAAAATAATAATCGATGTCCTGAAAGAAATGTGTATTGAAAAACAATATAAAAAGTCAGATCCTAAGTTTTATGAACGTGTGATTGAAAACATCCTCTCTCTAACAAATATCCCAGCCCCTACCTCTCTCCCCATCTACCCCCCATCCCAAAACATTAATGGTGGGTCCCTAATTTGGTAATTATATTTTTACGTTATGAATAAAGGAAAGGGAATGTACGGCAAAAAAAGAGAGGAAAACTCTAGGGCGGTCTGCATATTTTGTTTAGTCTTTAAACACAAAACAGATCTTCGTGATCAGAAAGTAATTACTTAAGTTCTTCGAAATAGAAGTGAGAGAGAACTGTGCAAGGAATTTATGATTCAAGACAGAGACGATGTCTCTGGGAATTCAGTCACGAGTTGTCCTCGAGAAACCAATAATACCTCAATGTAACCGCTATATGTAACTGGATCTGTGCACAAACAAGTGTAATTTATTTAATATCCACCTGTCACTCAATGTCACCCAGACACAGATGTATTCGTGTTTGTTTCCTGTCTCGTGACTCTCCACGTGACATTGATGAATGCAGGGTGACGTACGCTACTCAGAAACGTGTCCGAGCTGACGAGGACGATTGCTTTCTTTTCTCTGGTATATACCATGTTTTAAACCGCTGTAATCATTACTTGTTTGATAGGCATGTGTAGACACAATTTTAAGGATAACAACTTCTTTAATACTATAAAAAGCGACTTTTCGGTATAGACCCTAATAATAATAATTATTATTATTATTATTATTATTATTATTATTATTATTATTAATAATAATAATAATGATGATGATGATGATGATAATAATAATTTTTAATAATCTAATAATATACGTGTTCCTCGCGTATCGATCTGTAATAATGTCTTTATCTTTACCATCAAGACAAGCTTAATGTGGTATTTTTGAAGGAAGTCAGGTTTTTATGTTTACAACGGCAGGGAGTAAATGAAGCAAGAGATTGTGTAGTACATGTCTAAATGCGGTTATCTGTCTCCTATTTTACACTGTCAGCGTTGCTTAACTTCGCCATGCTGGTTACTGTCTCCACTATGAGCAGGTCACATACCATACATGCCGTTAGTTGAAGACCCACATTCCAGGGACATGTTCCTTCACGTCATACAACATTTTATTGTGTAGAAGTGTTCCTTAAAGACAAAAAAAATTAATGACAATATCATAAACATTCAACTTTAATCTGATCAATTTATTAAATGAGTGAACTATTGTCTTCTTTGATCAATTTAGAAGAAATCTACATATGACACTCGGTAGAAATGTATAATATATTTAAGAGTCGGTTAAAAACTCTTCCACAGCTTGGGCGGTCGGGTAGCCTAGTGGTTAAAGCGTTCACTCGTCTCGCCGAAGACCCGGGTACGATTCCCGACATGGATACAATATGTGAAGCCCATTTCTGGTGTCCCCCGCCGTGATATTTCTGGAATATTGCTAAAAGCGGCGTAAAACCACTCTCTCTCACTCACTCACTCTTCCAAAGCAATATTATCAGCCCTTTATCAGCGAGTTTATGGTTTCGACCAAGGAGCGCCAGGCAAATAAAAATTGAAACAAAGGAGTACCGCTCATCAATTTCATTACCGTAGTTCGTTTTAAATCAATCCCTTCGAGGTTAACATGTTTAAAATATGTTAATGTACATAGTAATATCAATGTCCAGGTGAATTAGTTCCGACACATGGTCTCTCTCTCTCTCTCTCTCTCTCTCTCTCTCTCTCTCTCTCTCTCTCTCTCTCTCTCTCTCTCTCTCTCTCTCTCTCTCTCTCTCTCTCTCTCTCTCTCTCTCTCTCTCTCTCTCTCTGGTATCAGTTGCTATCATGTATCTTGCGGTGCCACCCTCCATGATTGTTGTTTGACTAAAGTTGGAAAATGGTTCCAGATGTCAAGACTAAACTCCCGCCCTTCAAGCCAAGATGTCTCTATCCACACATCTGCTACCTTGTCGTGCACCTGACTACCTTCTTCACCCTAGCGTCTTCCTAGCAGTAGATAGCCAGCCCTTCTGTCTGTGCACGTCTCCAGATACTTTGGTTGTAATGGTCTTGAATGCAGCTACGGCCATGTTAGATGGTTCAGCAGGATGAGTTTTGGCCAGTTCTTCAACCTTGTTGAATCTGACTTCATAGCTTGATAGGCTTTTTTGTCACTTACTTCATTGCAACGAAACCTTCACCCGCCATATTACATCTGCACTAAAGTCACTCGCGCATTTGCCATTTAGGTGATATTATTCATCCCATCACTTATACGTTTTAGGTCCACTTCTGGATATTTATGTTCGCGGACGGGGTCAAGTGGAGTTAGTGGATTTAGATTAAGAAGTGGCAAGTTGACAAGAATTGACCAAATTTGAAAAGTTTTACCTCTTTGTGGAAAGTAAAAATTAATTGTATTTTTGTGTTCTGCATTTTATGTATTTGTACCATTTCTGAATAAGATGTGTATCATAAAGACTATTTCTAAAAATGTATTTCTGTACGCCAGGGTATATATTGTTATAACACTGTAGGCGCTCACGGCTAATCCATCAATTTGGCGCTCGCAGAATCCTTAGCCTGTCGTGCAATATGACCAATAGCTGCACAGTTTCAGAATAAATTATTTTCAAACTTTGTCTCACTTTCACATTG